AGGTCGGTTTTGCTGGAGGATTAGGAATCCCTGGGATCCCTGGGATCCCTGAGCCTGCACAGGGATCGTGACTTCGCATCCCTGGAATCCCTGGGATCCCTGAGCCTGCTCAGGGATCGTGACTTGCCATCCTTGGAATCCCTGGGATCCCTTAGAAATCATATGGTTTGCTGACAACCGGCGCCGCGATCCCTGAGCAGGCTCAGGGGTCCCAGGGATTCTGAGCGCGGGATCGCTGGTGGATCCCCAGGTCGGTTCTGCTGGAGGGTTAGGAATCCCTGGGATCCCTGGGATCCCTGAGCCTGCACAGCGATCGTGACTTCGCATCCCTGTGCATCCCTGGAATGCCTGAGAAATCATATGGTTCGCTTATCGTTCTTGCTAGCGCTGCCGCTGATATCTGATACCTGTTCTCCCAAAGGCGGGGGAAGCGGACGCTTGCATCTTCTGAGGTTGCGTTAGATAACGCATTCCGCTTGCAACACGTGACTCGGGAAGAGGAACGGAAAGGAGCAGGGATGATGAGAAGAGGATGCGTCTCCAGCTTCGTGGAAGAGGGAGAAGGCGTAGAGTGGGTGCTGGGGGGGGGGGGTTGTCCATATATATATATATATATATATGTATGTATATATGCATATATATATATATATATGCATACACATAAATATTGGTCGTTGTTTTTCAGCTCAGAACCAAACGAAACCTAAGGAAAACCACAAAAAAAACAAAACCAAACCAATGTCTGTGGATGTTTCCACGGGGCCTCCCCAGGGATTGTTTTTTTGGGGGGGGGTCTTTGTTTTTTTTGGTGTTCGTATTCGTGCCTACAGAAATCCATGCACAAACTCTGGGGATCTGTGCGGGTGCGATGAGTTTATTATTGTTTCCCGCGCGCTTTACCGAAGACCCCTCCCGCCTCATCCCGCCGAGAGTTCTCTGAGAACGTATTTTTGCATTCAAGTCCAAAGGCATCTCGGGAGGCCCCGCAGAGCTCCGAAAACCAGGCCGCGCTGGGTTCCTTTCTGTATATATATATATAAATAAATCGCTTCGCTCATTCCGCCGGCCCGTACTGTGCCATCGCAGGCGTTTGCTTGCGCGTTCGTGGCCTCTTGGAGCCTCGTTGGGGCCGTTTGGGGCCCTGGGGTCTCTTTTTAGGCTTGGGGAATTCGGGAGGCCTCCAGGGGGCCTCCTGAGCTCTCGTGACGGTCTCTTGGCGGGCTTTCGGCTTCTCTGAGAACGTATTTTTGCATTCAAGTCCAAAGGCATTTCGGGCGGCCCCGCAGAGCTCCGACAACCAGGCGGCGCTGGGTTCCTTTCTGTATATATATATATATATATATATATATATATAAGAACCTTGTTATTGTTATGACAACATTTTTGGTTTTAAGAACATGCCGTGGTAGACCTACATGAATGTCGGGGCGGCGGGTCCCTGCTCAAGAGGTGGTCCAGCTCCAGTTCTGGCCAGCTGAGGAACAGAACCCGAGAGAGTGCCCCCCTCGTCGTCACGGCTGGACACGGCACTTTCAATTATGGGCGGTGCCCGGGGAAAGGTTTGAGCGGATTTGCTTTCGCCCCCCCATATTGAAGGATTCTTCCAGGCCTACCCAGCGCAAACCCCCCAGCCGTTTCCAAGCCGGTTCTTTTCATGAGATACCTCTGGGAAGTTTTCCTCATGGCGGCAGGCGACGTGGACCCTCGTCGTTCGGCGTCGTCGCCATCCTCGTTTTGTCCTTGTTTCTCGTTTCTCGTCGCTCTCGTCTGTCGTCGTCGTGCGTCCTTTTTGTCGTCCATTGTCGCCGCCGCCGATTCGGTGGCATCGTGGTTGTCTGTGTCGTCTCGCGCCGCTGCCGCTGATTTTGTGGCGCAGTCGTCGTCGTCTTGGTCGTCGTCGTCGTCGTAGTCGTCGTAGTCGTCGTAGTCGCCGTCGTCGTCGTCATCGTCGTCGTGGTCCCGTAGCAGCCGTTGTCGCCGTCGATCCGTCTATTCTTCGTCGTTGTCGCCTGTTCGTTGTTGTCGTCGTCGTCGTCGTGAGGGGGGGAGAAGATTATTGAGGACAAGGGAGGGAGGGAGGAGTGGAGGGTGGATGCAGGTGGAGAATACGAAGGAGCGTGGCGACGGGGACGCTGGGATTACCAGAAGAGGCGGGAACATGGGGAGGGTGAGAAGATGAAGCAGATGCCGAAGCGGACGAGGATTTGAGGTTGCGTGCGGTTTTTCGCGCATGCATTCCCCAGTGTAACCAAGCTCCCTCGCAGACCATACAGCATTGTAAATGGCCAAATCAGCCAGGGAATGCACAATGGAACCCCTGGGAGCATCCATGGTTCCATGGTAGCGGTGCTTGCCTCAAAGATGAAGAGAAAGATGATATGAAGAAGGGGGTGATGCTGACAGAACGAGGAGGAGGAGAAAGAGGAGGAGGAAGAGGAGGAGGAGGAGGCAGAGGAGGAGGAGGAGGAAAAGGAGGAGGAGGAGGAGGAGGTGTCGGGTAAGGGCAAGGGAGTGTGAGACGGAGGGAGGTTGATGAGCCCATGCATCCAGATGCTCGATGTTGTCGAGGGTCTGGATGTTGGACCCTAGAGCCCTCCTCCTCCTCCTCCTCCTCTTCCTCCTCCTCCTTCCCTGGGGACGGCTTTTTATTCCGAGTCGTGTTGTGGCCCTCTGCGGCACGATAAGGACATCCGAGGGATCAACGTGTGCACCTTGGGGTCACCGAAGGCAGACGTCAGAGCCTGCACATCGTGCACCGCAGGGTACAACATCACCCTACAGGCGAAACGGCGCTGTCTTCGGTACTTTGGTGTTGCCGTCCGCGAGGTGTGCAGCCTTCAGCGAGCTCAGTACCAACACTCGAAAGCTGGGCGAGGGCTGCTAGAACCGTGGCTGCTAAAACGGCCCTCCCGGAAGGAACAAAACAGCTTCTTGGCATGAGGCGCGGCACGCGAAACAGTCAACGGGTTTCTTCCCTGAAGGCCGAAGACAACTTCCCGGAGGCCGATTTTAACGGCCACGGATTTAGCAGCCCTTGCCCGGCTTCCGACTTCAGCGAGTTCACTACAAACACACAATTTCAATCAGCACCTTCGGGATCAGCCAGGCCTGCAAATCCGTGGCTGCTAAAATCGGCCTCCGGGAAGTTGTCTTCGTCCTTCCGGGAAGAAACCCGCGTGGACGGTTTCGCGTGCCGCGCCTCCTTCTGGGAAGTTGCTTTTGTTCCTTCCGGGAGGGCCGTTTTAGCAGCCACGATTTCAGCAGCCCTCGCCCGGCTTCCGAGCCAGCACCCTCGGGAGCAGCCAGGGCTTCGACGACTCTGTGTGCTCGTCGGCCCCGCACGGGGCGACGCGAGGGCTCAGCTCCTTGCTGCGCGGCACCCGCGCGGCGTCGGCCACGTTCGGGCCAGGCCAGGCTGCCTGGACGACGACGATCCGCTGCATCGTTGCTTCTGCACCGCGTGCCAGGTTCGCGTAGGACTAGTATGAAGTCGGGCTTGTCCCTCTACAGGGGGGATCTTCCAAAATAGTCACAAAACATAGTCTGGGGACGATTGTTTGATCATTGTTCGACCATTTGGGGGCATGTTTGGAGTATGTTCCATTTTTCGCCCCAAATGCCCCCTGTAGGGGGACAGGCCCGACCTAAAACTAGGACTACTGCGTGCTTCTGCGTCACATCCGTGCCTTCCCGATCCCCAGACACTCTCGGATATTCTTACACACATGTAGACCTATCGAAGTATGTGCATACATATGATTGTGTGCATATATACATACATATATATATACATATACATACATATGTATATACGTCTATATGTATATATATATATATGTATATATATGTTTAACTGTATGCTCCATTTGCGGCCTCAGATGTCACGACCCATTCCCGGGGTGTGTGCTGTCGTCACTGTTTTTTTGTCATGGCCCCGGGGCCCGATCCCGATGACGGGCCCCGCGAGGTCGAGATCACAGGAACACGCCCCAGGATTCACAACAAAATCTGATCGGGGGCGGCCCAGCGTGGGTCGATGGCAAGGGGGGGGCTGGATCATGGCAAGGGCCGTGACACCTCCCCGCATTTCACGCCAGCCTCGTCTTAACATCCTGCGCCGTTCGCCCCCCCCCCCGCCCCCCTGGGCCGCGCACGTGCCTTGGGCCGTGACTTGCGAAGCCCCACGGGTTTACATGGTTTCACGCATGTTCGGGGGCGGCAAAGAGGGGGGGGCTGACTAGGGGGGGGGATCTCATGGCGGGGGCCATGCTATTTCCCCAGATTTCATGGCGCCTCTTCTCATTTCATTACGTGCCTGGCCCCCCCGCTGGGCCACGCACATGCCGCCGGTCATGATTTGCACCCCCCCCCCCTCTTGGACACCCCCCTCTTGGCCGATCCCGAGATGTGGGAGGCTTCGACACCACGGTCTTGTTTCTCGCTGGAGGCAAGGTTCGGCGCGCTGGCTCGCCGTATGCAGGTTGGCCGTGCCGCCGTTCCGGGTCGGCCTGAAGGGTGCGGCATGCGCGCGCGTGTGTGTGTAGTCGATGGTGTCGCGCTGGAGGAGCAATCGATCCCCTCCTCGGTGCCACGTGGCACCATCATCGGGTTGCCCACCGTCGTCGTCCGACGCGGGCAAGAACCGTATCCATATCCAGTGCGTCTTGGATCTTCTTGGAAGGGGCGCCACAAGGCCGAGCGGGAAAATATTTATCCACATCCAGTGCACCTCTGGGTTCTGGTGAGGGGAGCCCGAGCCTCCGATCTGCAGAGGGTACAGGCAAGAGTACAGTGGAGGCCCATGCCAAGAAACCTCCTGCTTGCCTCCAGGGTGCCCTGGGTTTCTTGGGTTTCCATGGTCCTGCCATGGCAAGCGCAGCGCTCCCGCACCAGAATTTAATGGACATCCGGGGGCCTCGGGGTTGGGCCTCTTGCGGAGGGCTTCTTGTTTACTGGCCTCCATTGTATTGCCCGCACCCGACACCCTGGCCGCGGCGGAGGTCGCCATGTGGGTGAACGACCGCTGCCTGGGTGTCGTCTTCCGCGCGGTGCCGCTACCCCTCACGCCGGCAGTGCAGGTGGAGGCCGGCCAGGCCTGCCATTTGGGCTCCGCGGCCGCGCCGCCGCCCGGAGGGCCGGGCCGTCGCACCAGGTGGGCTTAAGTCTGGCTTGTCCCTCTACAGGAGGGGTATTTTACAATAGGCAAAAATTGTCTGGGGACGATTTTTGTTTAAACAACTAGGTGCATATGTATGTGTATGTATATATATATATATATATAGAAGCCCGCCGCAGACGCCAAAGTTTCACACGTTATACAACGAGCCCGCCGCAGGCGCCGATTTTTTTGATAAACCGATGTGGGTAGGTCGCGGGTGGGTCGCGGGTGGGTCGCTGTTGGGTCGCGGGTGGGTCGCGGGTGGGTCGCGGGTGTACAGGGCAGGACATCCCCCCCATTTTAGCCACCCCGACAAGCGAAGCCGTTAAGTAAACGCACACAAGGAATGAATCGAACAGGACAGGGATGTTTAGTCAACGCCCAAGGCCGTTTAGTAAACGTCAATTGTCGTGTCCGGGTGTTTTTTCCTCCCTTGAGGATGGGTCGCGGGGTGGGTCGCGGGTGGGTCGCGGATGGGTCGCGGATGGGTCGCGGGGTGGGTCGCGGGTGGGTCGCGGGGTGGATCGCGGGTTGGTCGCGGGAGGGTCGCGGGTGGGTCGCGGGGTGGGTCGCGGGTGGGTCGCGGGTTGGGTCGCGCGTGGGTCGCGGGTGGGACGACGACAACAAACAACAACAACAACAACAACAACAACCACAACAACAACAACAACGACAACGACAACGACAACGACAACGACAACGACAACGACGACAACAACAACCACCACAATCACAACCACAACCACAACAACAACAGCGCAACAAGCAGGATTCTCATAACGAATGCTTTATTCAGCCACGCACGCAGGGACAATGAATGACCGTTCGGCCCCCTCGCTCTGAGATGTATCGGAGGTGAGGGGGTGAGATCGAAGTGGAACGGAGAGCGCCCCTACCGGGAAATCGATTTCGGTTTCGTGTTCGTGCGTGCCGTGCGTGCGGGCGAGGTGAAGCTGCGTGGGCGGGCGAGAGGAAAGTCTCCTGTGGCTGAGGCGCGGCCGGACCAAATGACTCCCTTCCGGCGTCCGGTGGCCCGCGGTGTCCCGCCAGTGTCCCGCTGCGGCTGAGGCGCGGCCGGACCACATGACTCCCTTCCAGCGTCCGGTGGCCCGCGGTGTCCCGCAGGTGTCCCGCCGGTGTCCCGTCGGTGTCCCGATGATGACGGTGATGATGTTGATGATGTTGATGATGATGATGGTGATGGTGGTGATGATGATGGTGTCCCGATGATGATGATGATGATGATGATGATGATGATGATGATGATGGTGGTGATGATGATGATGATGATGATGGTGATGGTGATGGTGATGGTGATGATGATGAGTATGATGATGATGATGATGATGATGATGCTGCTGACGATGTTGATGATGATGATGGTGGTAATGATGATGGTGTCCTGATGATGATTGTGATGATGATGTTGATAATGATGATGGTGTCCCGATGGTGGTGATCATGCTGATGGTCCTGCGGATGTTGATGATGATGAGAATATGTTGAGATCGTGACGATGCAGATGAAAATGATGGTGCCTCGATGATGATGATGATGAGGTTGATGATGATGCTGTTGATGGTGATGGTGATGGTAATGATGGCGTCCCGATTGTGATGACGATGTTTATGATGATGCTGATGACGATGATGGTGTCCCGGTGATGCTGATGTTGATGATGAGGATGATGATGATGGGGTGATGATGATGATGAGCTTGATGATGGTGGCCTGGTTATGGCGATGATGCTGATGCTGGTGATGGTGGTGTCCCGATGATGATGATGATGATGATGATGATGATGACGATGATGGTGATGGTGATGATGATGATGGTCTCCCGATGATGATGGTGTCCCGATGATGATGATGATGATGATGATGATGATGCTGTTGCTGCTGATGATGATGGTGTGCCGATGATGATGTTGATGCTGTTGTTCATGATGGTGATGGTATGATGATGATGGTTGTGTTCCGATGATGATGGTGGTGTCCCGATGATGATGTTGATGATGATGGTGACGATAATGGTGTCCCGATGATGATGGTGATGAGGTGATGATGATAGTGATGGTGTCCCGATGATGATGATGATGATGATGATGATGATGATGATGATGATGATGATGATGATGATGATGATGATGTTGATGACGCTGATGACGATTAGGTTGTTGATGATGATGCTGACATTGATTGTGAGATCGATTGTGATATCGATGATGAAATCGATCGGGAGACCGAATGTGAGATCGATTGTGAGATCGATAGAGAGATCGATAGTGAGATCGATTGCGAGATCGATAGTCTGATCGATTGTGAGATCGATCGAATGAAATAGATAGAGTGAGATTGATTGTGAGGTCGATCGAGTGAGATCGATCGAACGAGGCCGATCGTGAGGTCGATAGTGAGATCGATAGTGAGACCGATCGAGTGAGACGTTGGCTTTCCCCCCCTCCGAACCTCCTTATCACCCGCAGGGTGGTCGTATAGGTGTGTATATATATATATATATATATGTATCCATAATTTGGCTTTCAAAATCCGCCTGTAGGGGGACATGCCCGACCTACAAGTGGGCCTCCCGGCGCCAGGAGGTGCCGAAGCATCGAGGAAAGGCGCCCACTGGGCAGGGTGAAAGGAGAGAGGCGCGGCGAGGCGAGGCGAGGCGAGCGCGCGGGGTCAGGACGAGGCGTGGGCAGGGCGAGGCGAGGAAAGGACGCGGTTCTCAAGAGGCGGGGGTCAATGCAAACGGGGGTCAGCCAGAGCGCCGGATCTTGCAGGATCCTGCAGAGCCAGGGTCGCACTGTCCAGAGACGGGGGTCAAGGCAAACGGGGGTCAGCCAGAGCGCCGGATCTTGCAGATTCTTGCAGAGCCAGGGTCGCACTGACAGGGGTTTGGGTGCAGGATCCTGCAAGATGTTGCAGGATATTGCAGGATCCTGCAAGGACTCACTGACCCGGTTCTGGATTGACCCGGCTCAGTGGATCCCCGAAGAGAGGGAAAGGGAGGATTCCACGAGTTGCCGCACGCGGCTGGTTTCGTCCCCGCTGGTGGGCGCCTGTCCTCGATGCACGGGCGCCTCCCAGCGCCAAGAGGCGCCGCGAGGCGCCCCGGAGCGGCGGAAGTAATAGCTGCTGTGCGCGAGTTGATTCGCTGAATCAGTAAAACCCGCCGCTCAAGTTAGCCAGGGAGACTGAGCGTTCTGCCGAGGAAAGCTCACAGCGCCTGCCTCCTCCCCTTGCTCTGCCCGTTCTCTGCTTCCTTTCGTTTTCGCCCACTTGCTCGTCTTCTCCTTTCTATCTCTGCCTCCTCCTCCCACTGCCTCCATTTTTTCCTCCTCCCTCCTCTTCCCTCCTCCCCGGAGGAGGAGGGTAGAGGAGGGCGGGGAGGAGAAGGAGGAGGATGAGGAGGACTAGAGGTGATAGCCCGGCTACCTGGTGCCACCATCCTGTAGGGCACGATGGCCCATGTTGCCGCCCCCGGCTGTGGCCGCCGTTCCCCGCTCTTGTTACCGCCTGGAACACATCCCTATCCCTATGCCTGGCATCTCCTCATCACGATGCCAATCTTAGGGATTCCCTTATTTTTTGAGGGCGAACCCCTAAGATTGTCATCGCCTTTTGGCGTGTCAATCTTAAGGATAGGGATACGTTCGAGGCTGGTAATCTTGGGCCCCACCTGGAGCCCATCGCCGATGAGCGCCGGCGATGCGTCGCGGGTTCAAGCCGTTCGACGGTCCCTGCCCCCGTCGGAGCAACCGCCCCTCACAGCCCCTCGCGGCCCGCCCTCTCCCCAGGGGCGCAGGGCCACGCCGGGAGGGGGTTGGACTGCCCAGCCTTGGCCCTGGCGCGGGATCCATCGACTCCCAATAGCACTTTGTTTTGTGCGTTCTTCTTTTTTTGTTTTTTTTGGGGGGGGGCTGGGGCTTAGTGGGCCCTGGAAACGACAGGGCAGTTTTTTTACCGGTTCCGTTTTGCCGTTTTTTTGCCGGTTCCGACGCCGTTATTTGACCGGTTCCGTCGCCGTTATTTGACCGGTTCGGGCTCCGGTTCCAATCCTGGAGTAGTCTTTTTGCCGTTTTTGGTCGCCATTTTTGTTGCCGTTTCCATTTTCAAGGGACATTTTTTGGGAAACGGTGAAAAAAACGGCCCTGCCGTTTCCGGGGCCCACAGAAGGCTGGGGGCAGCCCACGGTATGCTCTGCATCATGACAAGGGATCCTTGGCAGGGAACGAAGGTCCACTTTGGTCGGGGGAGCGTAAGACCCGGGTTTGCCAGGACTCGGGTTCGCCATTTTTTTGTTGACGACCGCGACTCGGATTTTGACGAGGAGGAGTTTCGTGGGATGTCTGCAGCGGGAGGCCTCGTCAAAATGCAGGCTCGGCCTCGTCATTTTTTTGACGACCTCGTCGGGGATTTCCGAGTCCCCCGTACCCGGGTCTTACGTCTCCCCGAATTGGGAGGTGGTGAACGGTCCAGGCTGCCTCAGGGCGGGATCCATCCACTCCCAATCGCAGCGAACGCGAGACAAAGACACGCGCACGAGTTCGAAACATGCACGGGGGATGGACGTCCGAACAATGGCAAGTCTCGACTCCAAAGCAGGGGCGTACACAGACAACAGCCAGGTCTCGTCCCCTCTCGTCCTCCCCCGCCGCCACAGTCGAGCTTGATGAGCAGGTCGCCCTTTTCAAATCTCACCGAGCGCGTTACGCCACTCGCTAATGGACCTGTTCGCAACCGTCCAAAAATATCACATGTTTGCCTCGATGTAGTGTATCGTAGAAACCTCCGCAGCGGATCCAGGCCATTTGCGAGCAGTTACTCTGCAAGTAGTGGAACGCGTTTGTTGACAATCGCGCACTGTTCGCCAATAGGGGCTCGAACAGATGCGCCGTCGGGACTTATCGCCGATCCATCGGCGACGCATCGCTGATTCCATCTCGATGTT